TCTCCGTTTGCTCCAGAATCCCTGTCTTCGACGCTGAAAATTGCTATTACTGTTCCCAGAGGTGTATCTTCCGGAACCGGAGTGAACACGGACATAATGACAATCTCGGGAACGTAGTTGTTTACATCAACGACCTTGATGAGTACCTTGCTGTGGGAAGAGAGTCCACCCACATCCCGAGCTTGCACAACCAATTCGTAAAACTCGTGTTCTTCGAAATTCAAGTTCTCTGTTATCACAATTTCTCCACTTTCCGGATCCATCTTAAAAGTCTTGTCGAACTTCTCTGGGATTTTAAAGAACGAGTATTTTACTTCGGCATTTGGCCCCTCGTCTCTGTCAGTCGCTGTCACCTGTAACACACGACTTCCTACAGCCACGTCTTCTCTTACAGTCACCTTATACACAGACTGAGTAAATTCTGGGGCATTGTCATTTCCATCTAACACAATGATTTCGATTGTTGTCGATCCTGATTTCACTGGACTCCCGTTGTCTGTGGCTGTCAGGATCAAATTATGAGCAGCCTTCTGTTCCCGATCCAAAGATTTCACCAATAATAATTCCGGATATTTCACACCATCATCTCCAGTTTTCACTTCCAAGGTGAAATAGCTGCTCCTGCTACATTCGTAATTCTGTAAAGAGTTCACTCCTATGTCGGGATCATGAGCTCTCTCTAATGGGAAGCGTGCACCTGGTGCAGTATTCTCACTGATTTCTAAGACACTTCTTCCTTCTGGGAAACTGGGAGGATTATCGTTAATATCCAGTATTTCCACCTCCCCTTTGTAAATGTTCATCGGACGCTTTACAAGAATGTCAAAGCTTAGAACACATTTAGCAACAGCTGCGCATATCTCCTCTCTGTCCACCTGCTCCATCATAGATAAGTGGCCGTTTCGCAAGTCTAAAAAAAAGTACCGTGTCCTACCTGTGTCAAAAACGTGGGCGTCGCGGTCTTTGAGTGCCGGCAGCTGCAGCCCCAGATCCTTGGCCACGTCGCCCACGAACGAGCCCTTGGGCATCTCCTCGGGCACGGAGTAGCGCAGCTGCCCCCACGCCGCCTCCCACGCTGCCAGCAGCACAGCCCAGAGCAGAGCTCGCTGCCGCCGGCCCCAGCGCCTCCCCGCCGCGCACATCTCCGCAGCGGCACCGCAACACAGAGAGCAGTGTGCCCTGCCGACCGCGGATCTGCACCCTGCTCCGGCTCTAATTTCTCTAATTTCTTCCCCGGCTCACCGCTCCCGGCCGCTGCCGCTGGCCCCTCCACCTCGGTGCAGCACTGCGAGGACGATCCGCACTGCGGGGACGATCCAATCCAGCGTGTGCCGAGTCAGAGAGGCAGCGGGCAAGGGATTCCGTCCGCAGCGGGCGGGGCTGCGGCGCTCCGAGCTCCTCTCGCTCCTCTCGGTCAGCAGCGGCGCCCGCAGCCTCCTCCCGGCACTGCAGGCACCGAGCGCTGCCTCGCCCACGGACAACTCGCGGGGACAGCGCAGCGCCACGGAGATATCGGACCCCGTCCAGAGGGGACCTCCTGCCTCTGCTTTTCCCCAGCCCATCTCTTCTTTGAGAAGCTGATCAGGACCAGTAAGAAGGCAGAGGTGAACTTGTATTGTTCCTACCGCACAGGAAAATGTTTTTGTAATGGTGATACAATATTGATATAAAGTCTCTTTACAAGCAGAAGGATTACTAGTCATAGTCCATTCATTCAAAACCACAATTGTCCCCACTAATACCCAGCTTTTTCAGCAGTTGTTGTTGGATAACCTTTTTATTCCCCTTACCTTTTCTGCCAATATATCTTAATATTGCAATGCCATTAGCAACCTCAGATTTCCAAACCCCATGTGTTAGCACAAGCCAGCAGCCGAGTTCTCTGTGTTCGAGTTTTTTGGGTGGTCTCAAACCTGATATTTTCTTACAGTGGGAGGCACTTTTTCCCCCACAGTCCCTGCCTTGAGCACCATACAATTGACAGGTATGGGAGAAGACCTTGTCAGTGATGACCGAGACAAAGATATGGCTGAGTACCTCAGCCTTTTTGTGGTCTGTTTTTATCACATTGTCAGTTGTGTTAATCAGGAGACATACAAGGGTTTTGTTGTTTTGGGGTTTTTTTACCTTTTTCTTCAGTCTGACTTACCTGTAGAAGCCCTTCTTGCTATTCTTTGCATTCCATGTAGAGTTCATCTCCAGCCATGCCTTGGCCTACCTGACCCTATCTCAACACAACCAGCCAGCATCCCTATACTCTTCCCAGGACACTTGTCCCTGGTCCCACTGCTGCTCATTTCTTTCTTGCCCCTTGGTTTGACCAGCAAGTCTTCCCTCATCTATGCTGGTCTGTTCCCTTCTTTTCCTGTTTCCCTACACATGGGTTCTAGAAGTCATGCATTGTATGGAAAGCATCCCTAAAGATCTGCCAGGTCTGTTCTGCTCCCTTGTCCTTCAGGGCACTTTCCCCTGAGGGAGCCATTTGATTAAATCCTTTAAGAGCTGGATGTTTGCTTTCCTAAACTTTACGTTCCTGGCTTTGTTCTTTGCCTGATCTATATCCCTCAGGACTATGAACTTGACCAGTGAATGATCATGGCAGCCCAGGCTGCCTCCAGTCTTGGTATCTCTGATTAGCTCATCTGTATTGATGACCAACGAGTCCAGAAGAACATTTCTTCTGGTAAGGAGGGCTGGACTAAGGTCTCAGTCCTTCCTAAAAGGCACCTCCAGTGAGCTTTTTGGGAGAACTCAGCAGTGTGTTCAGGCCTTTCAAGACAGGACACTGCCTCCCCCTCTCACAGGGTAAAAACCATAATAAACTATCTGATTATGGACTGCCTCAGACACTTGAAGCCTCAAACTGGAATGACCCAAACCCCAGAAATTTAATAACAAAAGGTGATGCTCTCTTGTGATCTCAGTAAGAGACACACAAACTCTCTTTTATAACACACACTAGTGGAAGAGATTTGCATAGGTAATCTTACATTCCTTTAGATGTGGAGAACACTGAGTAAAAGTAACTTCCCACAGGTATTCAGCCACACACAGGATGCCAAGCAGATCCTGATCCCAGGAAAGGAAGTGTGCCCCTGTTCCACTCAGTCAAGACACCACAGGACTTTCACACAGTAAACCAGTTTTATTCATAATTTTTAGAATTCCAGTAGAAGAAGTTTTCATGCAGTCTTCTTGCTCATACTGGGAAGGGAGACCTGCCTGCGGGTTCCTTGGATAAAATGAGATTAATCTAACCCTTCACCAATGTATTTGTAGAGCAGAACACAGCACATCAGAAGCCTATGTCTTCCCAGATTAACTGGATTATGGATTACTTCAACCTTGATGTTCATCAGTCTTCTGGTCAGCATCACTACACCATTTGCTCCCCAGGACCTACCTTTTCATCTGGGCCTTGTGGAAATATTCCTGATGTAGTCCTCTGCATTTCATGATACCAAAGCTTCTCCCTGGTAGCAGTTTTTACTCATCAAATTTCCACCTCCAGGCACTCTCTAAAAATACTTCCCAAGGGTAATAATTCCTGGCTTTGTGCCATTCTTTTCTAAAATTCCTACATCTGAAGTGTTACAAACACTTCATAAATTACCATCTGGGAATGCAGCTGTCAGGAGATTTGAGAAGGTCACTCCCCTACATCACAGCTTTACAGGGACAGAGCACACCTAGGGCCTGTGTGGAGGTGGGGTCCAGTCTCCCTGACCTGCCTATTACTGGGCTCCATCTCAGCCTAAAGGTCAGTGCTCAAAAGATCCATAGAGGCCTGATAGCAATTCCATTGTCCTCCCAATTTTCTTTATCAGCTGCATCTTGAAACTGGAGAGATGTACCCACTCAACCACTATCTAGGCCAAAAGAAAACACAAAGACTGTCTCCACACAAGGCATTCAGGTGTTCCCTTTATTTCAGTTTTACACTCAGGGGTATCCAAGTTTACAATATTAAACTTCATAACTTCAACAAAACACGGTGTGAGACTTTATAAATAGTCCACACAGCACAGACATCATTCAAGTAATCAGTTATTATACATGGGTTTGCAGTCCTTAAGCAGAAAAAGAAAGACAATGCTCAAATTCAGTTCAGAGAGTAGCAGGAGAAAGGGCAAAAAGGAGAATTCAAATGCCCTAACACAAATGGAGAAAATCATGTGGAGACAGCTTTCTACTCCCAAAAAGGAACCACCGTATACAGGAAAAATAAGAAGGCCAACATCAATCTCTGTTTTACCATTTCATGTTGATTCTACTCTTAGAAAATACTCTCTGAAGGACTTATGGATTTTTTATGAAATATAGCCAAGGCATGAACATTTTTTCAAAACTTTGTACAGTTATAGTAAACCAAACACAATTTGTGCTGTTATAATTCTATATTTCAAGGAGACATAACACTGAGTGCTGGTTTATAGGGCACAAAGAATATTTTGTCATACATTTTACTGCTCTTCCCTGCCCTGGAGAAAATGAGACTCCTGTAGTCAGGGGTTCAGAATAGTCTTCTTGCCAGGTGAGCTGCAATTGCCTGCATTGCAACGGTTGGATGGGAGCAACTCCACCAGGCCACAGTAGTGAATTATATGCAGACACAGAGTGGCTATACTGACTGACAGGAAACCAAAGCACACAGAGCCCACATACCCCAGAGAGAGGCATCCAGAATCCAGGGAAGAAAGAACCCAGTCCTCACACAACATGGGACACTGTACTCTCAACATATTTGCTTACATGAGCTGGGAAAGGGGTTTTGTACATTTTTTAAAGGAAGAGATCTGGTATAGTCTCCAAACTAGGACACAAGGAGTGCCCTTTTGACAAAGGACAGAAGAAAAGCTGCACTGTCTTGTTGGAGAGCAAGAGAGACAACAGCATAGCTGGACTGTTTACAACTTCCTTAAACACAGTCAGAAATGACCAAGAAAGCTGAAACATACTATTGCCTCAGAGAGAGAACCAGAGTTGCTTTTGTTTCCTTGTTTCTGTTTTGGAGTGAAAGAAAAATTTTTAGTCTAACTTAAAATTTGAAAAATTTGAAAATACAAATTTAGTCTGGAGGTACCACTGCCACATGCTGCAACATGAATCATCTCCCATGGGCCGTGAAGCCTCTGGCTGTGCAGAACCCATGTCAGTCAAAGGAAAGAGCATTGAGCTGTCCTGCAGAGAGAGTCCCAGCATTGTCTGGGGCCATGTCCTCTGTGCTGACAGGGACACAGGGAAAATCCTGCTCCTCAGCGGGGCCCTGGCCCAGGGCGCAGTGCTGTGGGGGCAGGCTGGGCAGGATGGGCCTGAGGAATTTGAACTCGCTGTTGCCCGAGCCCGTTGTGAGGCTGATCTCGTAGCAATAGGCGCGGGGCAGGGTCCCTGCAGCGGCTGCATCGGCCAGGCCGCTCTGCACGTT